ACACCGCGAGGACACCCGTGACCGCAACTTATTGTTCTTTAATAGTGTCTATAATGACGGATGATGACTCGACGAGTTAATTGAAATAAATACTTTGACTTAGACTTTGTGACCCATACATTTTGTACAATGTCGTGGTGGCCCGGGGGTTAAAGACGCTCGCTTCTCATGCATGATGGCGTGGCTTCGAAACCTACCAACGGCAAGTACCAATGTGACTTTTTCCGAGTTATATGTACTTACTAAGATTATTTAGACACCACTGATAAACGGTGAAGGTAAATATCGTGAAATTATAAGTTTGTAATCGCCAACCTGCATTGAATAAGCATGGCGATTAATGCTCAATCCTTCTACTTGTGAGAATAGGCCTTTGGTCAGCAGTGACCAAATTAATGGCTGTTGATCTGATGTACATTTTGATATGAAAATATGTATTTGTATGCACTAAGGCATACAGAATAAACCCTGGTTTACAACTAAATTTAAACCAGTATAAGGGCACACGTTTAGAATGTGTGTTTATGAAACAAAACAGTGAATTCAAATATCAGTTATACAACCACAAACACAAAATCACCCAGACCCTGAACAACACAATTCGCATCCCGAACAATATTTTCCAAAAGTTTGTTTCTAACCGTAATCGCAGTTCCTTTACTTCTAACCCACGATCTACCAAATTGAAAAATAACTGAGCGTCCTTACAATAAATTTAAGTCGGAAAACTTCGTCGTTTTAATCGTTAAACCGGAATTTTGGTCATTTAAAGTACTGTTATTAAAGTAAGAGACGTAAATAAGTTGGGTGACTCAAGGCTCCCCTAGTATATCTATGGGCAAGATTAAAATGGCTGGAATTTTCTTTTGTTTTTGGCAAGAATTTTGAATTTACCAGTTAAAACGTTTAGAATTTCGAATTTCGAATTTTCGGTCGGTAAGTTCGGTGGAGTTGTTCGACTTTTGAATTTCGATTGTGATTTTTAACGGCGAAAGGGAATGGGAAGTTATTATTTTAATTTTTAAATAGGGTTGGAAATTCGACTCTTTCGGATTGGAAGTAAGTTTTAACCGCCTGTAACATAAATCAAAGAATATTCTGCATGATTATAAAGCAAATGGCTAGTTTTTAAATAACCTAACAAAAAAAGATAATTTTTCTATTACAAAATATTTATATTAAAAAAATCAAAGCAAAATTATTATTTATATACTACGTTTAAACTGTCAAACACCAAGCGGTCACCGGTGCCCGCAACCTATTGTTCTATAATTGTGTCTATAATGACGGTACTCGACGAGTTAAAATACCGATTTTAAACCCCTCTTTTTGAAAGGTCAATTAACATACTAAAACCTTGTCCTAAGTTTAGCAAACACTTTTCTAAAACATCAAAATCGGTTCAGATAATCGCGCACAAACATATACACATACAGGCGAAACTGAAAACCTCCTTCTTTTTCGAAGTCGGTTAAAAAATGTATTAATAATAATCACTTTAATACCACTTGAAACAGCAATAGAATATTTCGGATATTCAAAGCTTAAATGATTTAATATTACGTATTATCCTGAACGTATTAATTCGCATTCATTTTGTTCAATTTATAATATGCACCAATACAAATGGCGTATTTAGTGGAGCGTATTACTGTTGCAAATTAGCCAACTGATAGCCGATTTAATTGTAAGCAGTGTTTATTAATTTATATTGAATTCTATATTATATTAAATTTCGGAGAATTGGAATGAATAATTGTGGTCGTATTTTAAATATAACATAACATAACATCACGTCATTTTATCCCTGAAGAGGTGCACTTTACGGCACTTAATGCCACTGTACAATGGAACACCCACTTTTTACTATTTATGTTATGAGGCCCATGTAATACGGAGTGAGCCTATTATTACGAATGGAGAAGAACGAGCAAGAAACTCCATTGTTACTCTTTTCAATAAGCAGTAGTGAAATCAACAAGATATATATTGTTTGGTTGACGATAAAATAACCCTAATCATACATTAATCCTCATCTAAATATATAAAATGAATCCGTTTTCCCCTTGGTCACGGCATCACTTTTTTCTTTTTTGTATTTTTTGTCATTATGGTGCTCCCACACAGCAGTTGAAGGTATAATGTTATATCACATTGTGTAACATGATAACATTTTGTCTGACTGCCTCGTTGGTCGAGTGGTCGCGAGTGCGACTGCTGGGCAAGGGGCCTCGGGTTCGATTCCCGAGTCGGGCAAAGTATTACTGGGTTTTAAAAAAATTCTCAGTAGTAGCACGGAGTCTGGAAATGTGCCCGGTATATGGCAATAGGCTCACCCCCTATTACATGGGACTCATAACATAAATAGTGAAAAGTGGGTGTTAC